ATCTAAAGGCTACTACACGCATCAAGAGGCGTCTAGATATCAAAGCAAGATCGCCACCTCTTGACTCTTCTTCTAGTAGTGACAGTGAGGAAGAAAAAACAAACCCCACAAAGAAAGAGAGGCCAGGGGTGGTGGGAGTTGCAGGGTGGCCATTTCAAGAAACAGTAAGTCATGATCCACAAACACATTGGCCTGTCCTAGATCTAGAGCAAATTACTTGTGTCAAGAGGCGTCTAGACTTCAAAGCCCCATCACCACCTCTTGATTCATTATTAAGTGGTGGGAGTACAAACCATACAGTGGAAGCTATCAAAATTTGTTCCCGTCACTCATCAAGCAGCTCAGATGAGCAAGAGGAGGGGGTGAAAGATTTAAGATACCCTCAAACAACAGAACCAGAGACAAGATGGCCTGGACTGGACCTCAGCAGTGCCTTCCATGTCAAAAGGCGCCTGGATATCAAGGCACGTTCACCTCCACCCGAGTCCTCTTCCAGCAGTGATCATGAGAGTGAAGGTGGGATTACAAATCTACCTATGAAAGTGGAGAAGGACAGAACTGATGTAGGGATTACAGGTTATCAACCAGGACGAGGGTTGTCTGGCATTAAAGTGAGTGTCCCCCTTGTCAAGAAACGTTTGAATATCAAAGGACCATCTCAACCAACGGACTCCTGCTCTTCCAGCAGTGACAATGAAAGCAAACTTTCAAGCCACACAGTAAAACATGAGAGGGACAAAGGATATGTGGGAATCACAGATCATGAGCATCAGACAAAGTTGCATAAGCTGAGTCCGGGTGTCCCCTACATCAACAGACGTCTGGATTTCAAAGCACCATCACCACAACCAGATCCGGAGCTTAGTAATGCGTCTCCAGGCTCTCGACAATCCAAATTAAACTCTTCCGGAAGTGACAGGGAAGATGAGTACGCTAAACTAGGATTGGGAGTATCTGCCATATCAAAGGCCACTGAAAAGGACTTCATTAGATTGCCAAAGACCCCAGTGTTAAACACGTCTCGCAGTCCAAAGACAGACCACAATATAAAATTAGAAAAGTATACAGGTATTAAAGATGAAGTGGGGGACAAAACAAGTGGCAACATCAGCACAACACCAGAGATAAACCCAGAACTTCAGTCACGTTGGGGCACGATGAACCTGGGTATCTCCCGTTTCAGAAAGAGACTTGAAATCACATCGCAAACACATGAACCACCAAATCTGCCCTCCTCACCTCCACCTGACTCCCGCTCTTCTTCCAGCAGTGAGACTGGGAGTAAAAGCAGCAGAACAAGCCGAAAGAAAAGGGGAGTTAGAATGCAAGGAAAAATACAGACAGAATCATCTTTAACCCCGGAAACCATACCAGTGAATGTTTCTCTCAGTTTGAAGGGTCGAGGTGACAACACTGGCGACTCAGAGGTTACAGAGAGATTAAGAAAAGACTATAGCCGACCCACAACTGAGGGAAAGCCAGATACTACGTTGACTGGTTTTGGTATTCCACATTTAAGGAGGTACCTGGATATCAAGGTGAATGAAAAGGCTCCTGCTACAACACCATTACAGCAACTGCCTGATTCCTCCTTCTCTAGCAGTGAGAATGAAGATGCATCAACAAAACCTGCAGGTGAAAGATGGAGGAAAGAAGCATCCCAGAATCATACCTCTTTGTATGTGGCCCACACTGTCAATATCAAACTGGATCAGAGCCAAACGGAGTTGGTTCAGAGGGAGGCCAACGCAGACCTCAAAAGCCAAACTGACTCAGCGTGGCCTCATTTGAGTCTCACCAATATCCCCCATGTTAGGAGGGCTTTGGATATCAGAACACGGAGGGAATCATCCTCCAGCAGTAGTGAGGAGGAGATGATAGGCCTCAGTGTTCTTGACCTGAGCCTCGGTGTCCCGCGTGTTAAGAGGCGTCTGGATGTCAAGGGACCACTACCAAGTAATTCATCACCTTCCTGCAGCGAGAGCGAAAACGAGGTGATGGGATACACCGCAAACCAAAGCAGACCTGCATCAAACATGTCAGACAATGACTCTCTAATCACTTATAAGCGTGTAATTATCAAAACGTCATCGCTACCAAGTTATTCTTTCTCCCACAGTGGCGAGGGTCAAACTACAGACCACACAAAGCAAAGACATATGGGGACTGAAGGTGGTGCACAAGAAGGTCCATCCTTTGCCCCAAAGAGAGTTCCCAGTATGAGCTTTGATTTGGTGAAGAGAAGGACCGAGCAGCCCAGACGCACCACAGGTATGGACGTGCCACCCGAGATACGGTGGACCGGCGTCGGTCGTCAGCTGTCTGACTTTTCCATCCCGAGTCCGAGGAGACACCTGGATGTCGGCTTATCGTCTCCACCTGCAGAGCCACAACTCCCCCCACCTGACTCCTCCAACTCCTCCAGTAGTGAAAGTGATGATAACACAGAACAAGACATAGGGAGAGCAGAAGTGCCACTGATGCAGAAACACTCATCTCTTGGTGCCCATAGTGTTTCTCTTGACAAGTTTGACACATTGAAGGCTGCATGCGAGGCCAGGAATGAAAGGAAAGGCCTTGGTGCCCTAAAAGCCATGTCATCGGAGAGACTCAAGTGGGACACGACGGATGAAAATCTAGCCAAGAGTGCATCTCCTCTATTTGAGGACTATGGTCCAAAAGGTGACACCAGGTTTGACTTTCGCAAGTCTGAGGTCAGGTCATCAACTTTAAGCGTTACAGATCTGTCGTACGGTATTCCCCGCTACAGGAGGCACGACATTGGAGGTACTGGACCACCGCAGGGGGCTCCGCCTCCTATTCCTGAACACCACCACCATACGAGGCCGTAGGGCTGACATGGAGGTCTCCACAGAGCAGCAACACGGAGGAAGCCGTCCGTTCCGCAGTTACGCCACAAAACCTGGCAGTATATTCTGATTTCTCAAACGAGAAAATTAGTGAAGTTTGATTTTAAAAAGTCAGGCATCCAAAACACTTTTCTAAGTGATTGGCAATGTTTAATCTTAAATTGAATAACAACTATTGTGAATTACATTCTATTATACAAGTGTTACGCTGGTAATGAAATGGAAATACTAATAATTTATTGTGTGGAACTGTTGAAGGCACCATTTTATCTTTCTGATTTGCCTCATTTCTGTAAATTACTTTAAAAAAAATCATCCATCACAAAGACGTCTCCCTGTGATCGATTTTGCAACAAAAATCAATGTCAATTTAATGTTCTTGTATTATTAATACACCTTAATAAAACCAGATCTCTGAACGATAGAGCTTTCATTTGTGGGAATAAGTGCATCTAAAAAGAACGATGGGTACTTTGTACTTTGTTATGGAAAAACTTAACTTAAGAACCCAAATAAAAGCCAGTAAGTTAATAAACCCTTTTATTTATGTATATAGACATTAGGTTATAGTGAAAACAGACATATAGACACTTACATAGTTTACATACATATATACAGTTGGGACAAGGGTGTTCATCCTCCTGCATTGTCATGGGAGAAATACTAAAACATTGATCTCTACACAGTATTTGGTAAGAAAACCAACAACTATCTTGAGACGTGACGCTGATGATTCGCATGGTTAACGACATCAGAGGCGTTCAAACTGTTTCAGCTGCAGTTTCACTGGATTTCATCTTCACAGCAAAATTTTCAATGTGTGTTTTTATGCGTATCATGTAAATAAAAAATAAATTAAATTAGATCCCGGCTGCAGCCACCTGAAGCCGTGTGAGGATGCGTTAAGATGGGCTGAATGCAGGAGGGAACTCCTGCTCCACCGTGAGGTTACAGGTGTGTTCCAGGTCTCAATAGACACAATCATGTCGTTCATCAGAATTAAGAGAACATGATCGTGATTATTAAAAATCAAGCACAAAACTCTTGTACAAAAACAAAAAACGCATCTGAAAAGAAAATTAAAAGAATCTCATCCATTCACGAAAGGCTCTGTCGGAGCATGCATGCAAATATTAAATCTCGACGATTCAGCATCACACCACAGCCAAAGACAAAGAATTTATACATTTGTTACGAGAACATTATACGAGGCAAAAAAAAAAATGGCGTAGCATCGTCACGCAGTTCCAAACCGATTTAGATCCCAACGAAAGCAAACCTACCTTTCTACTCAAGCCTTTAAGGACCTCGTCCTGAGAAGGTTCACCGGTCTTCCACTGTATTATTATTATTAATAACACTGTCGGGGGGGGGTGGGGAGAGATGCTACTAGTAAGAAACTATCAGTGGACTAAAGGAGGACAAAACAGATGCCACGTATTGAGACAACATGGACACCAACAAGCTCTAAATCGACTCATTACACAGCCCAAAGTCTGAATTCATCCTGAAATAATCCCTGACCACTTCAGTGTGTCTGTGTATATATATATATACATATATATATATATATATATATACACACACACACACACATTTGGGTTTGTGTGTGGGACACACAAAGTGACTTCCATGTTTCGAGGCACAATAATACTCTTACCTACACAACGTAGACGCACGAATCGGTCGTCAGGGCCGATGAGCGCGAGTGGCTCACCGCTGTACTGTGATAAGAGTTAGTAAGCAGCAATGCTGATTTGTTTGGTGTTATGAGGTCTGGAGGGGGGGGGGGGGGGGGGGTTGGAAAAATGTTAGCATTAGCTGGAGCAGAAACAGTAGGAAGAAACAAAGAAAAAAAAAAAAGCTGAAGGGGAAGAAAATGAAACGAATCACTGGCACGAATTAAAAGTAAACAGCACAGGCAACCAGAAAACCTGCGATCAACCGCTTTTTGACACAGTGTGCTTCTTGAAGAACTTAAACGACCAACAATAGTTCGAGCCATTTGTCCAGAAAAAAAAAAAAAAAATCCAAGTCCACCATTCATATTATTTAAAATGTGCCCAGAGTCAAAGTGACCCCCCCGTTTTAAAACTCGGACACAAATGCATGAATGTTTTTTTTTTTTTTTCTTCTGTGAAGACAAGCGGGGTGAGGATTGGTTCTCTCTCTCTCTCCCCACACACACACACACACACACACACACACACACACACACACACACAC